CCCCCCCCCCACCCCAAGCAAGTCTGTCTGCTGCCAAGCAACGAGTGCTTTCCTTCCTGAACTGTGCCCTGCGTGCCAGGCCAAGGTGGGAGAGCAGCAGGGCGGGGAGTTGCAAGCACTGCAGCCTCCTGAGAGTTCCAGGGTCCCAGTCCTGTCTGCTATGGGCTTTTTGGGTACGATGCTCTTCGATGCTGCCTGCAAGGTGTTGAAGGGCGAGGGAGGGGAAAACAATAACCTCTTAATAAAAAGTACCATGTAGGACCTCAGCTTCCCTAGGGAAGCGGGCGGTGCTTTTGCTCATCACCTGGTGCTCTGGGAACTAAAAGCTGTAGTCCTCCTTGCAGACATGTCTTCCAGCTAGATGAGCCAGGTTAGGTGACGGGAAAGCAAAATGTTTTTGTATCTCTTGCCTCTACAACTACTGATTTTTGGGGGGTTAGTATCCGGGCAGAAAAACACTTGCGTCCAAATTTCGCTGATGTTGAAATGGCTGAAGTACAAATTAGGAGTGGACTAGCTTTCCAGTACACCCTTCAAATACCTGAAGGATGACTATAGAGCGGATGGAGTTGGCTTTTCTTTGTGGCTGTAGGAGAGAGGACCAGAAGCAACAGCCTCAAGCTGTGGCAGAGGAAATTTTTAGGTTGAATATTAGGAGGAACTTCCTATGAGGGTGGCCAGGCATTGGAACAGGCTATGTAGAGAAATTCATGCTTGGAAACTTTTAGAAGCAGGTTGGACAGACAGTTGGGTGGGATGGTTTAGTCAGGGATGCTGCTGCTTTGAGCAAGGAGCTGGACTGAATGACCTTGTGATTCTTTCCAGACCTACTTTCCTATGATCCTGTCTGCCAAGCCTGGTATTCCCCTCCAGCCAGCAATGACACTACAAATGTCTAAAACCCTCATTCAGCCAAGCATTTAAGTATGTTCCCCAGAGCTTTGATCTCTGAGCCCCCTACTTCTACCGGTCTGCCAGGTGCTTCCTGCGAGTCAGCAAGCCCCCCACTCAAGGCAGGATCATCCTGATTAAATCATCTCAGCCAAGTCTGTCTACCCGTTCTTAGAAACATCCAAGAATGGAGATTGCAGTTGCTTTGGGTAGCCTGCTCGAATGCTTGACCACCCTGGGAGCGAGAGAGGTCTTCGTAATATCCAACCTAAACTTCCCTTGCTGTAGTTTTAATGCCTTGGGCATCTTCAGGTGGAGGAGGAATTGATAACTCATGCTCAAAAATGTAAAGATTGGTAATGTTTCAGTTGTGGGAGCTGTTCCTAAGTTGTAGCATCTATCATTTCTGTTGGTCAGTAGGCCGGATCCTTTGTTAGTCTACTGTGCTATAAGCTCCCTTGAAATGGCTCCATACTGCTTTGCATCAGCTCGTGACCTGGCCCAGGGAGTTTTGTCTATTCAGTATTTCTTGAGATCAGGCTCCAAATGATTATTGGGAATGTAATTAATATAAAAAAGAGACCAATGGAGGTGGCTGGAACTGCATAGCCTTGAGCTGTGTCAGGTTGGAGGTGGAACTTTGTTCCACGTTTTGAAGCAGGAGACAAGGGAGGGAATATTCCCTTTGAGTTTACTTTCAGTTTGATGGTCCCTGGAAAATAGAGAGCCATCTACCAGACCTCTTTAGAGGCTGGCTTATACGCAGGCATGTACTAGGATTAAGGAAGATAGATGGTAGTTCCAGATCAATAGTTGTCCTCTACATGTGAGTCGCAATGAGCTTGCACATAATCAAGACAGTGGCCTCCAGAATGTTTCTGTAGTTGGATGGTCTGCCTAGATGTGATGGTAGTTAGACCTTGAATTATCTAGGATAGCAGGGGCCCTTCCTCCAATGCTACTAGTGACTAGATATAGATCTGGAAGATGGTGTCCCTCTCTTTGAAGTAGGGAAGGAGCAGGGAGCTGCAGTTGGCAATGAGCAAAGTACATGGGAGGTTGTGTGGGTGAGATAAGCCAGAAGAATTGCTTTAGTAACTCCTGGCCTCACTGCATAGTGGGGTGTAAAGACACATGGGGTAGTTTCACATGCCTGTGTCTAATAGTTATATGTGCCCATGCATTAAGAAAGAATGAGGAGAGACTGCTAATGCTGATACACCATGTGCTGGCCTGTCAAAATGATGATCTTGTCACTGGGTTCAGTCAGCTGCCAAAAGAACATTTTATGCTGGAAGCCCTAGACAGTGTTCATAGTTGGATCATCCAGGTGCCCCAGTGGGTCTGCGTCCACATAACACAGTTGGGAGCCAGTCAAGCATGCGCATGCTGTCTCCACATAGCAGACGTTGCCGTGTGGCATCTAGAATGGGATGTAGCTGGTGCTGGCTACTTGTACTGGGGGGATGGGAGCATGGAAATGTGGTGCAGCTGTGTAGGCCCTTGTAGGACTCTTCTGGGTTGGGGCAAGTGTTAATAATGGGATTAAGCCTGGACTTTGAAGTCTTTGGTGAAACTCTACCCAACATGAATAGAAAGAGTTGGCCTATGATCTCTCACTTTTAATGAGCAACAAATGCACATAAATGTCTTCAGAAAAGAGGTGGGAGCAGCCCCTAGACTGAAGTGAATGACTACAATTCCTTAGTCTGTTTTCTCAGAGCACTTGGGGGTGGGGGGCAAAGCACCACTTCTATAAAGTGCTGTGTTCTTTTGGCATTGCCAGGGGAAATTTGAAAGACTATCTAAAGCTCTATTGTTTCCTGTACTGTCTATTTTCTAGCTTGGTTTCTAACTTGTTTCTTTATCTCTCAGAACAATTTCCCATATGACTTTGCTTCCACAGCACTTATTTCATAGAGCCTGGTCAGAAATTCTTCCCAGGCACTTAAGCTGATGTGAAATGTCAAACAAGGTCTCTCCCTTGGGCTTTCTTTGCCAAGCCAAACCCAATGTGCAGCATCTCTGCACCACTTGTCTGTAAAGACCAACAAAACAAGAGACGGATTCCTTTAGTGTGATGCTTGTAAAAGGAGTCTAAATCACTCGGCATGGAAATAACTCTCTTTGTTAATGCCATTCATGCAGCCCTAGCTCAAATTGTCAATGTTTCCATTCTAGTAGAGCCCTGTGTTCTGAGACTTATTACCTTGGGTCATTTAAAAAAAAAACACCCTACAGGCTGAAATTTTGCCCGATTTTTAAAATGTCCACTTGGGAATAAAAATGTTAAGTGTGTAACTTAACAAAAAGAGTGGGCTTGGGTTTTTAATATTTTAAAATGGTGCGAGGACCACAGGGTGGCTAGAAATCTGAGTGTTGCTCAGAAGAAAACAGCAGTTGGCAGAGTGGAACAAAAGACATGTTTCTTTGGAGAGGGAGAAATACGTTGAGATGCTTCTGAACTACAGCTGCCTGTGACTTAGCTGCTCTATCGGCAGCCTTTTCCTGGGGGTTTAGCTAGATGTATGAACACCTCTAGGCCCTAATCCTTCAATTGCATCTCTATGGACACAGATGGCAGCTTGGGAAGATCTTGCCTCAGGATCAGGGCCTTGTTTTCCACAGCAAATTATAACCAGCCTTTAAATTCTTTTGTTCTAATTGTGACTTGAAGGCAGGCTTTGAACTGCATTTTAAGGAAGAGCCTGGTCCAAGCACAGCACTTGAAACCAGGAATGTGTGCTGTGCTTTAAATTTGTTTCAGACCTCAACTTGCTCTGAGACCTTTTATAACTTCTCTGCCCTCTGCATCCTCATTGGAAACATAGGGATGGCATAAGAGTAAGGTGAGGCTTAACTCATCAGTGTTTGACCCTCTTGAAGTCCCATGCTGGCTTCCTGTTGGCTCTTGGTATGTTTCATTTGCCAGATGTCTTCAATGCAAAAGGCAAGTATTTCTTGGGGTGACCAGGATCTCTTAGTGGACCAGCTGTATAGTCAGGATAGAGTTAGACAAGCTTTTGAATCCACAACGTTCATTATCCGGTCTGAGAAGTCA